TGTAAAAAAAAAAAAATACAAAAATACAAAAAAACAATAGCAAAAATTATGTCTTATTTTTAAGTTACTTCATGTTAAGATGATTTCTTTATGTCCAAAGTGTGGAACCCAAAAACTGAAAGCAGGTGTACTTACTTTTATTCATCACAGTACTATGAAATAAAAGCAGGTATAATATTTTTGGAAGGTTTTGGAGAATTTTCCCACACAGACTTTTCTGTATGAACTAAATGTGACATGAGGGAAACCAATGATTGTGCAGCTCCACTGTTCTCATGGATTTGCTCATAAATAGAGAGAAATTGGCCAATTTCGCTCCACGCAAAGGTAAAGCAATGATCGACCTGCTGGCTGGTTGAAGTGGGCAGCACGGCTTCGTAATTATGCCGATGCATCATTCACAGGGTTTTAAGACTGCAGATGGAGGTGATGAGAACACAGTGCACTAATGTCTGTAATCTCACACACGTGCAGCGTTTTAATCTGTTTAACACCAAACACTCCCTGGAAGAAAAGAATAAATATTACTCAGCATGAAACAAATTCATACCCGATGACCTGGACACAGAGCTACAGAGACGAGTACAGACTGAACGGTGACAGGACCTTTGGAGTGAAAACAAACCAAACACCACGAGCAGCACAACATTAGGACATTATGTGTTGTTGAAAGATAAGATATTACTGGAGGGGTATATTTTATGGGGAAACTTAAAGCTACCCTAAAGATTACAACAATCATTACTTTTCTTCATCTTTTAAATTTTTTTATTCATGCTTGTTACTTGTTTTCCTTCCCCTAAAATGACTTCCAAAACCTACATTTTCATTTCTGCAAAAACAAAATAAATAATTTTGGTAGTAATTTAGCAGTTGCATGCTGAATCATTTCAGAAATGACAGTGTTACCAGCTAATAAATGCCAATCAAAACTGAGCACTTATGTTGCTGGCATAATGCAATACGACCAAAACAAAGGCTGCAAACCCCACTCCTCTGTAAGTTTACAATTTTTTTCAACGTCACCACACAGACGGAGTAATTGATCACCTGGAGCTTTGAAAGAGTCAAGTGCATTGTAATTAGAGAGGATAAGAATGAGCTGGTTCACCTGATGCCTCAGTGATCGTGTGAGATGCATCTAAATGATGGAGTGGAGGCTGATACGAAGCAGACATTTTAACCATCCAAAGACTTAATTGCTCTGCTGTTTACAAAGGAGGCACTGTTACTATTTTTGGAACAGAGCTCAGTCAGACTAGACTCAGGAGGGCTATCAGGAAGCCTCACAGCATTTAGAGTACTACGAGCTAAAGAGGGAGCGGTTACAACTAGCAGGAAACACAGAGCAAGGGTAGGAAGAGGTGAGACGGGAAAACATAAAGACCTCAAACATATACAAACAGAGAAATACAAAAAGAAAGTGTGAAAACCAACATTGAAAGAACAGCTTAAAGAACAGATGGGCATTTCGAGAAATATGCACATTTGTTTTCTGGAGGAGAGCCAGAATATAAGACTGATTATACAACTTTGGCCAGCTGTTTGGTAAACTTGGCATGAAGGCTGGCAATATACCAAGATAGCTGTTCAGTGGGATCTATCCACCAGAGCCTCCTAGAATTTCAAGTTGTCTTCAGCTTAGAAACGAAGCAGAAATAGTTTAAATCTGTATGAATGTTGGTTAGGCCTAAATATCAGAAATATAGAAGCTCTTAAAAGTGTGCACTCTCCCGCTGATGTGATTAATGATGTATTAAATAACTAAACACCACACTATGTGATACTTACCCATGTTTCTAGTGAAAAATAAAATCTTTATTACAAAAAGTCAGTCAGTCCCCTAGGTAACTATCATCTCATCTTCAAACCTAATAGACCTGAAATAGCCTTAACTTCCCCAATCAGGATTTTATTGATTTCATTCAAAACCAAGCAAATAACAGAATGTAAACTATCTAAATAAAATGAGAAAGCATTTTACTTGTAAAGTGCATACAGTAGCTAACATGCAAAGCTTTAAACTATGATTTATCTATTTGTAATTTTATTCCTATGTAAAAGACTTTCTTGCAATATTTTAGGATGTTTGTGAAGGCAACCAAACTTCAAAGTCAGCTACTCTCCTGCACCTAAATTTCTCATTGCAACTTCATTTCTTATAGTTGGTAGATTGCTGTTTATTTTCCATTTATCGGGATGCATTGATAATGACAGCTTATTTTCTCTTTTTTAATTTCTTGAGTGTTTTAATAGACTTGCATAGATTTGTAAGTGCTCACATTTTGTTAAGTGCTAGACAGCTTATTTGTTTTGTAATAGACGGGACAATATAGAGACTCCAGAACGTGCCCCGCCTAGACGAAACATGGTGTTGCCTAATCAAGTGTCAGAAATAATATTGCTTAGTTTAAGTCAAACAAAAGATCATGTTTGACACAACTTGGGGCATAAAACACTTTAATTATGATATTGTATTATATTTTTTCTTAGAACAAGGAGGTACTGCAGAAATGTTAAAATCGTGAGGCCTTAATTAATACTGTAGACGTGGTGCAGAATGATTCAAATACTTCTTGAACCTAAGTATGTTATCACATCACATTTTAATTTTTGGTTTAATTATTTATACAAACTCTTATCTTTTCCCTCTATTAATTGTGTTTCTTACCCTCACCCAAACAAACAATGATGCAAAGGACTACCTAAATGTGAGATGGGTATCTCAGCTGCACCTCCAGTTGCTGCCCATCAGGATTAGATGGATGATCTTTAGTTGAATTACATTTAGCCATTTTAAAGCAGAAATGTACTGTCTTGTTTTACATCTGATTAGATATGATATCATAAAGTTATTTGAAGATGAAGTTTTTTTTATCTAACAACTGTGTTTTTTTATTGGCTTGGATTTGTTCAGGTGGAGTTTGATATGCTCAATCTGTCTTTTGAATTGAACTTTGCAATGACATCAAAACATATATTTTCTTTAACTTTTCCTTATTTAATACTCAGTTGTTCATGACACTACAGAGGCAGTTTTTTTCCTTTTTTATTTCTTTCCCAACTGTTTTATCTGTGGATTGTGTCTTCGTGGCAGGTTGCAACAAAAGAGTCTAAAAAATTAAACTATTCGTCTTTGTTCAATTGCGTGTAAAGGGTTGACACAACACTGGTCTATCCCTTAAAGGAACAGAGTACAAAAACTTTGGAGGTTGATGTGTCCCCTCTATTCAGAAAGAGTAAAATGTCACTCTGCGGCTTCCGTAGCAGGTCTCACATGCTTGGTGGGGAGGATGGAACCAGTTTGCCCTTTGTAATTAATTTAGTGCACCACTAGATGAAGGTCACTCTTACACGCTGTCACTTTAAACTTAAAGGTATAGTGGAGGATTTTCACAAATTTTTGAAAAGACCCGTCCTCTTCCACCCGCTCCCGAGAGGTAACGCCTATTTAATGCATGCGAGAGCATGCAGGAGCCTATTTCTCCTTGTGCCCGCTCCTTTTAAAAGTTGCTGCTTGCATCACTCATACAAGCTTACTTTACAAAAGATTTGCAATTTTTCCACTATGTCAGACTCACCACCGTTAAGTGAAAATGGGGACGAACAAATAGGATGGCCTTAGGTAAATATATCAACAGAATGATTGACAATTAGGAGGACCACTTATTTTGACATCATCACTATACCTTTAATGTTTATGTACTGAGTAAAAGATAAGCAAAAAAGAAGCCTAAGATAGATTAGTAACAATAAAAAAAAGAGCGAATATTGATCAAGCACACTTTAAATTATTACAAGAAAGTCAGCCCCCTTCATGCAAAACATGAAGCTTAAAGATCAATGATGAAGTGTGGTGCTTACTTGACAGCAAAAAGCTTGCTTTTCTCAGGTCTTAGTGCTTAAATTCTGTAGTTTGCTTGATGTAGCTTTATATATAATAAATATATCTGTAGAGGAGGGACACTGTTTTTCTCATCTAACTTTCCTCCAGAAAAACCAATAAGCACACTTTGTTAAAAGTCAAGTTCTCTGTTCAAACGGACCCCAAACATTTTAAAAAGTCAACAACAGTCAACCCTCAGTGGATAATCTAATTGCTTACAATTATTTTAATTGGGCAGCTACAGTTATTCCAGATGTAATTAATGGCCTTGAATTCAAAATGAGAAAACTGTAAAACACTGAAATCTACACTGAGGGTTTTCTGTTTCCATTATATCTCTCCACAGGTTGCAGGTGAGAGTTAGAGAATGTCTGGAGAGGCTTTGCAGGGCTGTAAGCAATGAGACTGTCAAGCATTTTAATTTTCAGAGCATGTATTCTGTACTTAAGCTAATAAGATGATGTTACTGTGACAGTCTATCCTCTTTATATATGTATCTTAGAAATATGTTGACTTCAGACACCTTTTCCTCTGAATGGAAAAATTTATTTAGCTGCAGTAAAAGAAAAAATTTTACATTTTTCCTCTGTTACTAATTTCAGCTTAATTGTAGAATTCTACCATTATATGCAAGATGCATGATTTATTTTTGCTTTTTGTTACAGAGTAATACCAATTTCAAATGCTTTAAAAAAACAACAACTGAAATCTGTTAGTGTTTGGGCATTCCTTAGTATCACACCAATATTAGGAGATGTTGCCGTACATTTCTATCAGGTGCTGCATGGCCAGCAGTGCATACTAAACAGCACTGCACGCCTGAATGTAGAAACATGAGGATTAACAGGGATGAGAGGAGAATTCTGTTAAAAGACAAATGGCCAGGAAGCAATAGAAAATGTTTTACCCTGATGTTGGATATTACAGTGACCTTTTAAATGCCCAGAATGATAAATTAATCAAAAATGAAATTAGATTTAGGGGGATTTTTATATTTTGCCAGTCACAAGCAGCAAAACTGTGGAATAAAATCACCCATTTATTTTTGTAGCCCCTGTTGCTGACAGCCCTGCACAGACTGAGGGGTCCCTTACCAGCCATGACCAGGACTCACTTGGGAGTGAGGCGTGGGTCTCCATAGGGAGCATAGGGAGACATATTTAGGAGGAACTCCTTGGGCGGGTAGGAGCTCCACCTCTGCTGTACGTTGCTGCTGTCATTGTTATTCCAAAAGTCTCTGTCTAGATCGCTGCAGCCAGAGAAAGACAGCAAAGGGTTAGACATCTGAGAGCAACAAACAGTGACAGGCAGCTATAAAGAAAAAAAAACACTTCAACACAAGAGTGAGGTGTCCTAAAACAAAAGCCAGTATAGAGGGAAATGATGTGAAAAACTGGAAAAACAAATAGTAATGAGAGTAAACCTTTACTTTAACATATGCCAAATATTAGGAGAACATGTGACAAGCCGTTGAAATAAGATTATGATAAAAGATGAGGGCTGCTGTAATGATAATTTAAAACATGGGAAATTATTTTATAGAGGCAAGAACAAAACTATAACACAAAAATTAAACTGAAGCAAATCCACTTTATAAGTGAAATTATTTTGTTATTCTATGCTATCTTAACTGGAGGTATATGTAAGCAAAACATCTTAGGTATCTAAAACTTCTAAAGACAGTCTCCCTAATTCTCAGGTATCTAAACTTTAATATCAAACAAAACTAGAAAATATTCCCTAACATAAAAGTACATAAACAGTTCACAGTAGCATACAACAAATAAGAGGCAATCTGAAAAAAAAAGACTCAAAAACCTGTTTTTCTAACTTATTCAAATACACAGCATCCTCAAATTCAAAAAGTTAACTGACTGCTCTTTATGTTCCCATTTTATTAAGTCAAATATAATTTTTGTGGCATTTCAATCTATCTATCTCACAACATCTCTATCTTATTGTTCATAATGTCTAAAAAAAGAAACTTTGAATAAAAGGTAAACACTTCATCTTTAGCTTAAACTTTATTTTAACACAGAAAGACATGTCAAAACTGGTACCTCCTTTCAGTTAGCATATTGAATATAAGTATAAATAAAAGGAATGTTTGGCCTGCAATAAATGGTTGCTTATTGTCTTTCTTTATTTTAATACATTTGTAATTTGTGAGCCAGAAAATGTGCACAGAAAGTAAGCAAATTTGCATTTGGATATTTATTTATTTGTGGTAACTATAGTTCTTGTCCTTGAAAAACGTAATAGGCCTTTTTTATCCCTTTAAATGGTACCACATTTGTACTCAATTTGGGTTTAGTTTGTAGCTTGCACCTCTTAAAATACTGCACAGGAGCAAGCCACAGCTAATCACAAAATTACTTTGTCGCTATTGACCCTTGTTTGCTATTAAATTTATTGGATTGGATGACTGGGAAATTAAGAAACACGACTTAATCAGCCAAATTATTAACTTTTCAAACTGGAAGCTGATTAGTACATGGTAAAACAGCACATCAACAACCTGGTGGCTTTTCTTAATGCTGGTCACCAGCTTGGTTGAGCGCTGCTTTGGGATGGAATCCAGTTTTCAAAAAGGAATTTGTTGCAAGACAGCAGATTGCTTATTTTCATCGATGTGGTGTGAACAACACGCCCAAACTGACCCTACTACTGGATGTAGATGAGGAAAGGCCATTACTTTCTCTCCACTGCAAAATTCTGGAATATCGACATTTTGAACTATGTTGGAAAAAAACAAAGAGATGAGATAAGATGAGGAACTGCCATAAATAACAGTCTTATCTCAATATCTCTCTGAATTAAGACACTCTTTACTGATAACGAGCTTTTTTTTTTTTACTATCGACGATACTGCTCCCACTAAAAGCTGCATTTATAGAGCATTTGGCAAATATTTCATTCTAAACTGTGCTGCTCAACCCACAAATGCATTTTCCTTCCAGATGCGGCACCATTTAAAAGGAAATTAATATGCCCTCAAGTGATATGAGCTGCAAAGCCAAGAACTATTGATACAACAAAAAAAGGTCAACCAAACTCAAATTTCCAAAGAATGGCTCAAACTTGACTTGCTATAGATGTCAATCAATTAGAATATAAATTAAAGGTCCATGGGCATTGTAAAACTAGGAGGAAAAGTTTATTCCATGTTATCAATACAATACTTCAACTAAAATTTGGCTAAGGGAAGGTTTTTCCTAACCATGTGCTGACATCTGCAACATGTATACAGTATAGCTTCCTTGACACATCTTGCCTTAAAATATTCCTAAAGTTGATCCAATTTGAAAAAGTATTCTTTTTCATATTTGTTTAACTGTTCTTACTGTGTTGGTATGAATTGTTTTGTTCATACCGCAATTATAAAAAACCAACAAGTATTTTTTACCTAAACATTATAATTTTATGGCGACTATTCACAACCATGCAAGTGAAAATCACATAACATACACACTATAACTATACATGAGCTCTGCATTCAGGAATTGGCTGTGGAAACCTGAATCTATCACCATAAGGATTATCTCCATGCTTCCGCATTCACTGTCTCTCTCTGACACCTACTTGATGGCTTTATTTTCCCCTCGACCTCTCACAGAATCTGGAGAGCTGGCAGCCTCCATCCCCGGTTTATTCCTCTTCCCCTTAAAAGACATTAAACAGAGACACAGAGACAGAGAGGGACAGTAGGGAGACGGACCTTAGAGATGTGTCGTGAATGATTTATACAACTGCATTTTTTTTTATCCTGCAAGTGAAATGTTCATTATGTAAGCTTTAGGACAGCATCAGGTTCCATCAGGTGTAGAGAAAAATGATAAATGAGAGAAGTGTAGTAGATCTGGTTAGATGCCAGGATGGCAGCACACTTCAGAGGATCAAGGTGATAAGGGACCACTTTACTACAATGAGATGCAAAAACACTCTGAGCTGAATGAAACATGCACAAACATATCTTTAAATAAATTAAACAAAACACTAGCCAACTAATGCATCTATAAATCATAAGAGAAAACCAATTTTTAAACACTATACATGTACACAAATACCTTCATAAAGCCCTTTAGATGTGACATAGGTCTGAAAACTGAACTTATACACATAAATCAAGGCTACTTTTCCTTACTGATTAGTTTTGAAAGTGGATGAAAGGATTGGGATGTTTAGGATTAGATTAACAAGCCATAATTATGATGAATCGACCACAACAACTCTGGGGCTTCACTTGGGCTGAAACATTTAAACTTTATATGGTTTGAGATCTTAAATCAACCAGATGATCTGTTTCAGAGGTGGAAAGACTAGAGACTTACGGTACTTGTGATTTACAAAAGCAAATTAACTAAATTAAACAAGTTAACTGAGCTGCATTATGTAGTTTCTTTTAAATTAAATGCAATTAAAAAGCACTCTTCACTTGAAATCCTTTTTTTTTATAAATATGAATAAGAGTAAGCAATATTATAAACGTGAGACACAGAAGAATCATACTGGATGCCCTTCTTTGGCACTGTCCTATTGCAGTTTGTAAAATCAGTTTATTAAAGGTATGAGTGAAATTCTTACTTTTACTCTCACTTCTAAACCCTTAAATGAAGTTAAGATTTTAAGAAGCTAAA